AAGGAAGGTTTAGTGTGAGGACGAATTGTTTTTGAACGCATAAAGGTGGTTTAAACTTTCTAATTGCCAGCCAGGGCCTCCATAAACTTTGGGATACGCCCCAAACACGTTTTATAGATAGGTTTAAAAGATGTGTTAACGTCAATTTTATGTCCTGTCTCTATAAAATGTTCCTCAATAGAGGAGCTAGGTCTCTTGTTCTCACCATTAATGGGTTCTGAAGATTCCATTTGTTTCTGGAGCCATTCAGGAATATGCTCTGAAGCCAGCGCTTACTTGCGTAGATGAGTTCTCCCTATGTATGTGTGTCCATACGTAGATTCAAATTGGTAAATACAGTGGGATGTGACATCATTTTTCACATGTTCTAAGGGCTCACATGGGTATATTGGCTTCACATCCTCAATTATTATGATATTAGCTGCATAAGTCATTTTAACGGCAGCGTTCAATCTTTGTCTAGTTACCAAGCTGATATGATGCCCCATATAGGGTAGGTTGATGTACACGTGTTTCTCAGGGGCGAGTTGAGGAGTGGCTCTAGATGTTCTGACTACTTTATATCTCCTGATGAACCTGTCTGGATAATTGTTATCAACCAGAGTTTGTGTCAACTTTCTTTCTTCCTCATCAAGTGTGTCTTCAGTGCATATTCGTTGGATTCTACTGAAGAGGCGTCCTAGTAAGGCTCTATTTTTACCGAATAGAGCAGAATCTGTGATAATTAAGATACTGTCCTCTCCAGGTAGGTTTTCTATAAATACATCTTTTTTTTATTGACCCATCAAGCTGTCGACTAAGCAATATGTCTAGGAAAGATAAACAATTATCTTCCTCTTCTATAGACGTAAGTGATTTGTTATTCTGAACTTCATTCATTCTATTTACAACTGAGGTGGCAGAATAAGGCTTATCACTTATGATTACAATGTCATCTACATACCTTCTATTAAGTGGCACATTTTCGATTAAATCCCCCGATAAATTCTCAATGTACGACATATAGTCCCTAACGGACTTCCCATACCAGCACCATCAGCTTGGCGGAAACAATCGCCTTCAAATATAAACCTAACGTTGTAAGTCCATAGAAGTAATAAATCGCTTAAATAAGATATAAGGAACGGGATGAAAAAATTGTTTGTGGAAATATAACAACACAAAATATCAACTGTTTTGAGCAAACACTCAACTATGATAGCAATTATCCAGTGAATCCCAAAGAAAAAGAGTTCAAACACACCTGTAGCACTCCGGTGTTGAAGAGAATGGAAGAAAAGTACCCTCTAACCGTCTTCAAAAAGAATGAATAACTATACAGTTTCATAAAAAAACAGTGTTTAGACTCAAATCAAAATACCGACAAGAAACCATCATCAAAGATCACAAAAAAATTCACTCTAACATATATTTAAAGAATATCTCTGAAATAACAGCTAGAATGCTAAGACCGTTTGAAATAGATATCGCACACAAGCCAGCCAGCCAGCTAGCCGGCACAATCACTTCATTAGACCAGAGGATCCAACAGCCAAAGAAGGCGAGATCAATACCATTTACAAAATAAATTACACAAACTGTGATAAACACTCCATCGGTCAGAGTGGGCGTCCCCTTCAACTAAGAATCCGAGGAAATAAATTAGGCGTGATGCAAAGACACGATATGTATTCCTGTTTCATATCGATGCACGTAGACAATTACTGACACTAATTCGATTGTGAGGATGTAGGAATTTTGAACAGAGGAAACACTGAAAGTAATGCTTGGGAATTTCTGGGTGCCTGGTACTCAAGTGAATCAGCCATCGATTAACAATCACATCAGTATAGAACAACACATTTCAAGCGAACAGTGATATTGTGCTTTCAATTAGATCTCATCAGGCTTAACTCTAATATACCTACATAACTTCACAAATAAAAATTCAAATATAAACCAATCATGGTGTTTCGTCTACAGGATAATACGATGGTGAATATAAATTGCGCAATTAGTCATAGTAGTAGTAACGGTAATAATAGTAATAATAGTAATGGTTCTATCAATAATAAGGATGAAAAAGTGAGGTGATCTGTGATAACACGAATAACGAAAAACAACATGATTAAACAAACAAATGTAGTCGATAAAGGCTAAGAAAAACAAATGAACCGATTAAGTAATGCTAGTTTGTAAGCGAAGTAAATGAAATACGTTTTTAATGAAGATGTGATAAGATTAAGGGATGATAAGAGAGGGGGGGGGTTGAAAATATAGGTAAGGGGTGATGCAGAAGTCATCAGTTGGTTATGTCTTAATAGGCCAATAAAGGAAGGATAATGGCTGTACGAACTTCTTCCGAATAGATGCATAGTTTAGTCTTCATAGTTCGAAAGCCAATCGCCTCAGCTGTGTGCAGTAGACGAACATGAAGTCTATTGGAAAGATTCGGTGGGATACGATGAATTACTCTGAAAGCTGTCGTGTTCTCCACTACATGACCACTATCAACTAAATGTGACAGAATGGAGCTACGGATTGTTTTTGTTTGTACTTTGCCAAACCACGATGACGGGAGATGTCCAGTAACACGTTGGCTGGCTAAGCTGCCACCGTGGGTGCAGCTGAACTGATAAATGCAAATAGATGTGGCAAAACTATCTAGCCTACCCTTCGTTTGCGTCCCAATCATTCGTCGGTTAGAGAATGACAAACATAGGTTTGCTGCGTGAAAACTTCTTCGTATAGACTCCTGGAAATTCTGTGGAATAAAATCTCACTCATAACTATAGACCAAATTTACCAACTAATAGAAAATAGATCACATGATAGGACGGTTCATATTCCAAGTTAATAAATACGATCAATAGAGACGTAAATAGGCAACCAATCATGACAAAGACGGTTGTCAGGAGATACAATTGCATCATCAGTCATGGGGAGAATTTAAGCAAATTCACTGTGTTGAAGATGTTGTCTAGATATCGGGGACAACGAAAGCTTCGTAGTCAATTCACTGTGAGCTCAGAGATCACAACTAAATCATATTAGGTGACATGAAAATTGTAAGGTATTACCTCAGTATTTGCACAGCATTCATCACTCTCCGCTTTTCACGGAAGACTGAGCTATTCAGGTAGGTAAAAATGCATTTAATGTTTGAATTACTTTTCAGTTTCTGGAAGTAATCGGCATCTTGTAGTGAATGTTCCATAGATTATGATGTTTGTTACGAAACCTTACACTACGCAATGCAGTAAGAGACTACAGTTTCACGAAGAAGCCCTTAAGTCTTGCTTGTTGCACATTCGTTATGAGTATCTCAAGTTCGATTTTGAGAAGTTATAGGCAGGAAGATTATTGGCAGTCATCATCAAACCTGATGGAACTCGTATTTCCTTGGAGATTCAGACCGATATAATTCAGTATTGCAGTCACAGATGGTAACACAGAGCTAACCTCCTGTCTAACCGTAGTGGATGCATGCCTCTAGTAGGCAGGAAGTGCCTAGTTCATAGCGCTGACAGATTTCTATCAGTGAAGTCTTTAGTGTGTTCACGAATTCACTCGACTCACCGCTGAGTTGTACTTTCAGTTGATGACAACATCCAAGTTTGAAACAAGCAATAAAGGTTAACAAAGCAGGATTCAATGAATTCATCAAATTTCGGTAGAACTCGTCAGCTGCTCAGTACTCTACATACACGGATATATATACTTTTGAAATTACATTGGGAGATATAAGACTGATAAGCAAATAAACTACATTGAATTAGTCATGCAGAAAGACAGGTGCGAATGCTTTTCCAGGTCATGTTCAATTAGATAAGGGGAGAGAGAGTATGGGAGATCGAAATTAAGATAAATTGCATTGCGCTTGAATTACATCACTTAGATAAACAATTAGACATTGGAGAATTTAACAAGAATTGCAACCAGAGGGATGTCAATAGTAATAGTTATAATAACAATGATAATAATAGTGTTGAAGTGAGTTAAGATAATGCTACTGATAAAGGATAGTTTTAAATGAATGTGCGTCGGTGGCACAGTGGTTAGGACTCTCGGCGACCATGCACATGGTCCGGGGTTCAATCCCCTGCCGGCGCACACCCGATATCTATGGTCGGCCTGCAAAATTTGGGTTACCGATATCCATACTGAAAATGCCATACTTGTACTGAAAATACGGTGTGGAATCAAGCTGTAATCAAAAATAAAAAATAAATAAAAAATAAGAATAATGAGAATAATAATAGTAATAAAAAATATAATAATAAGAGGTAGAATTATAAGTAAAACGTATTACCATGGTAGATTCAGAGTCACAACCATCTCCTTTTGTACATAGAGTCCTGGTTTATAAACTCGAATTTCACAAGCCTCTGCAATTGCGAGCATCTTCTTGTTTCTTTGTCTGCTTACAACAGTGAGTGACTTGACAGCGCGTCGATATCATGTCCGTAATCCACAAGATGTTTTGTTATTGAGGATTTTGTACAGTATTCAGTCCTATATCTCCCAATGTAATTTCAAAAGTATAAGTATCCGTGTATGTTGAGTATTCAGCTGAAGAGTTCCACCGAAATTTGATGAATTCATTAAATCATCCGGCTTTATTAACCTTTATTGCTTGTTTTAAATTCGTATCGAGAAATAAATGTTTCCAACATCCAAGTTCTTAACTTCTTGATCACATTATCGACTAGACTGATAGAATCCATTCAGAACCAAGGACTGGACAACTTGGCATTTGCTACTGCCCAGTAGTCAATGACATCAGTATCTCAGCAGTAGAATGCTCGCCAAACATACGGTTGGAGGTTCAGATCCGATTCAGCTCAGAGAACACAACCAAATCAAAATATCTTCATCAATATCAACTTGTTGGCATTTGATGCATGAAATCCTTGGATAAACTAGAAATTAAATGATGAAACAGTCTTGAAATGTTCACGAATGCCTCAGTTTTAATATATATATAATATATCTGTTTATTTTCTTCGATATTCGTTTAGAATGAATTTGTACCACCGTATGAAATTGTTCCATGTATGCGTCCAGTTGTATTTGTTGGTCCAGCACTGAAAGGTTATGAAGTAACTGATATGATGCAAAAGGCAATATTTGATGCAATGAAAAAACATTTTGATGGAAGGTTTGCTTATTTTTCTTATTTTTTTGTTGTTGTTGTGTAAATGATTTAGTATTTGTGATATTAGGAAAAGTACATTGATAACTTTGTTTAATGGCGTTATTCACAAATGTTTTGTGTTTGTGTTTAACAGACGAAAGAAGTCAGATTATTCCCCTAGTTGGCAAGTTTCATGATTAATTCTCATTTGGTCAAGAGTTGATATCGGTTAGGGAGATAGATCACTAAGAAGTACTAAACAGCTGTTTCATCCCAGCTCGGAACTCTTCAATAGTACACAGTCGGTCGGTCAGTTTTCGACATAGAACTTCGCACATATGTGCGGCAGTTCAAGTCGCCACACTCCATGTAGCACACAAAGGAAGAGAAGAAGGTAGGAGAAATGCATAATAGAGACAGTAAACAGAGGTGTGAGACAAAGGTATAGTAGCAGCGAAGAACAAAACAGTTTCATTGGAAATCATAAGTCACGCCTACGCAAGAGACGGTGTAAACTGGCATATGCGAAACTAACCCTCTGTATTCGTGTTAAGATTTCGTCAGCGATCAACCCGTTGGGGCTGCTGGTACTTCCCAAGTAAGTGAAGCGGTCAACTTGCTCTACCACTTCACTTCCTATTTCTAATCTAGGAGTCGGTTTAGTCCAATCCTGCAACATTATCTTACATTTTACAGGGGCGAATCGCATACCAAACATACGAAGATTGCTGCTCAAGGTGTTCAGAAGACTCTGCATTTTGTCAGCGTCCTCGCCTAGAAGGACTATATCGCCCGCACATTCTAAGTCGACGAGATTATTCCCTGGTAGCAAGTCAATCCCTGAGTCTCTGAAGTGAGTTAGGGTTAAGTCAATTAGTACGTCTATGATGAAGTTGAATAGAAATGGGGATAATGGGCATCCTTGACGGACGCCACTAGTCGTCAAAACTCCAGATGACAACTCGCCATAAGCCCTCACCTGGCTGTATGAGTACGAGTAGAGTGCCTTAATCAGTGCAATGTATTTTGTCGGCATTCCCTTTACAGCCAAGCATCGCCAGAGAACCTCCCGGTCGACAGAATCGAATGCCGCCTTTAGGTCAAGAAATATAATGATTGTCGGAGGCCGGTAGGAATGCCTATGTTCTAGTACACACCAACCGAGGTTTGAACTCAGGACCCTCATGGTTGCAAGGCGAGCTTGTAGACCATTTAGCCACTTGGAACTGATCCAATGCTCCATAAATTCCAAATTCTGCCAATTTGCGATATGTAAATAGAGTAATCTGCAGCTAATAACATAAACGCGAGTAAGTGTTCTCTTAACTGACTAAGTGGACTCCGTTGATTACGAATTCTCACTAGAACATTAGGTCACTTCCTGTATTAGAACCAGTCAGTAATAAGCATGAGATTAATTATTGATTGTTGGTATGCAGTGAGTAGTCATACTCAGCAGGGGCCACTAAGTCAAGTAAGAGATCGGTTACTGGCCTGTGACACTATCTGGAGGGGAGGGGTGGTCGCGCTATACATATGGTGAATTGACAGAAATTGGGATTCACAGGGTAGTAGGTGAGATCCCAGTGGATGAATAATCTCTCAAACAAACTGCAGACCTTCATTAACAGCTGCCTTCGCTCAGTACTCAAGATCAGATGGCCAGAAAAGATCAGCAACAGAGAGGGACTTCTGGCAATGAGCGAACCAAGAGAGCAGGAACCGATTGTGGGACAAATAGGCAGGAAGAAATGGAGATGGATTGGCTGGCCATACTCTGAAGAAACCATCAAGTGACATCACTAGACAAGCCATTGCTCGAGTGGAACCCGAAAGGGAAGCGGCGAGTTGGTCGTCAGTGCAAGGGTGACATGGAGGAGGTTATGTGAAGAGGAGATGAAAACGTGTGGGCAGACATGGAGCCAGGTGAAGACTCTAGCAGAGAACCGAACGCAATGGAGACGCACGACTGAAGCCCTATGTTCCTCTAGGAATTAAAGGAAACAATAATAATAACAATTACTTTATGACCCGAAGGTCTTGGGTTCCAAATGAAGTGGGTGATTAGTTCTAAAGAGTCCCAAACGAATCATTTGAGTAACTTGATATGATTATGAACAGTAATAAATTGTGCTCGAAACATAATCAGTAAATATTACTTACCGCGTATAACACTGTTAAACTTTACCAAAGTAAATTTTATCCACAATGGAAATTCCAAAACAAGATTGATGAAACAGCTGTCGAGTACCCCTCGATGTATTCAAGTTCTTCCACTCATTGATAGTTAATTGTTTAACTAAGTGATATTATTGAATATTCCCTCAATTTATTCAGAACAAAATATTTAGAGTGAACAATTGTTTTCAATAAATTCTTCATTCTTCAGGCTCTACAATTATTAGTCCATTAATTTAAGCATACAATAGCGAGCCAGTAGAGGCGAATTAGAATCATATCAGAAAGTGTATTGTGGAGCAAGTATAAGATGGTCAATGAGAACCTGGGACAAAATGAGATGAAGTAACTTAATTTAATGATGCGTGTATATATATATAAATATAGTCAACAGAAAATGCAGGTTTAGAGAGTAAGTGTAATCAGGGTGTGTGAGACAATATGAAAATAAACCAACGAATGGGGCGGACTAGACATAAGTTCAAGGTTGAAAATAACAACAATAAGAATGCTTGTTAAATAATAACGATGATATGGTGTAAAATTACAAGCACTATTGGTGAATGACTGTCAAATAATAATAATGAATATAATGAAGTGGAATGAACAGGATTTTGTAAATACGATAGCAAGTTAGAAAAGCACTACTTAAATCTAAGGTAATAAAATCATAAGAAAGGTCATGAAATCATAAAAGTCGAAAATGAACGATTGTCAATGAAACAGAGGAATAGAAGAAGAAGAAGAAAAGAAAAGAAAATTGTGAAAGGAATTTATAGTGTTAATGGAGGATTTGTTGGCTTTATTGTAGGCCAAGGTAAACATAGTGCTTGAACATACTTCTTCTGTATGCAAAGAGATGGTCTTCTGGTATTAGTTGCAACCGCTTCAGCTACTGATATAAGACGTAGTCGAGCTCCTCTAGATAAATTACTAGGAACGCGGTAAATAACTGAGAACGCCTGGTCAAGTTTTATCGGGTGTCCAGTATCTACCAAGTGAGCTAAGACTGCACTATTTACGCATTTGGTTACTCCTTTATTCAACCATACAGGTACATGTTCACGCGCGCGCATGGATAAAGCCCTCTGAGTACGGCCAATGTAACTAGCGCCACACACTCTCGAAACCTGTATTTTCTGTTGACTATATTTATATATATACACATCATTAAATTACTTCATCTCATTTCGTCCCATGTTCTCATTGACCATGCATATTAAAAAAACTATCTGACTATTGTTCCATCCCATCTTATACTTGTTCCACAATACACTTTCTGATATGATTCTAATTCGCCTCTGCTGGCTGGCTATTGTACGCTTAAATTAATGGATTCATAATTGTAGAGCCTGAAGAAAAATTTATTGAAACCACAATTGTTCGCTCTAAATATTTTGTTCTGATATTATTGAACCGTATAATGCATTTTATCTTAATTTTAATGTCTCATACTCCATCTCCCCTTATCTATTTGAATATGATCTGAAAAACATTCACACGCGTGTCGTTTTGCATGATTAATTCAATGTAGTTTATTTACCTTATTTGTCTTATATCTCCCAGTGTAATTCTAATAATGATATATATATATATATGTATCCCTGTATGTAGAGTATTCAGCTGAAGAGTTCCATCGGAATATGATGAATTCATTAAATCCTGCTTTATTAATAACATTTTTTGCGTGTTTTAAATTCACGTCAGGAAATAAATGCTCCTAGTGTGACTTTTAAATGGTTGCTGGTAAAAGTAGAAATCACACTGTGTATTATGCATACTGGTTAAAAATACCCATTAAAATTGTAACAACAGAAGACAAGGGCCAGGCAACAGATCGTTTATTAAGGAAATCAAAGCATATTTATATATTTTATGTACATTATTATAGATTAGTTAAGTAAACAAACACAGTCTTCTGATTGGTTGTTTCTTACTTAAAGTTAATCTTTCATCTCTTTGTGACTGTTTCTTGAATGTCACATCATCTATATGTTAACTGTATCCGCCTACGCAAAGTCTGCTGTGGTCGGTTTTGAATCAGTCTTTGTTCATATTTTCTCACGACAAATCTTGAGAACGTAAATATTGACGTAAATTACTGTCTACCAATTTGGCTAGTAGACAGCTCTCACCACAAAATGTTTTTTCAAAAGAATAGTTACTGAACAAAGAATACTCTGATTGGACACTAGTCAGTAACTAGTGTGATGTGTCTAGTCCTTTCTTTGGTGCAGACTGAATTCTATCAGTCAGTCAGGTTTGCAATGTGACCACTATGCCACTAGGTAGCTCACCATCACGGTGTACATTGATTTGATGATATTAGATAGTTGTAGGCAATCAGCCACAGGAAGCCTTGGACCTAGGTTTCGTGCTGGTTGGCACTCGCCAGTGAGCAAGGCGTATCTGCAAGCACCTTGAAGGAACTCATGTCCCTTCTGAGATTCGAAACCGTGTGTCATCCAGTGAGTGCTGCATTCAGAGACGTTACCACTGAGCTATTTGTGCTCTTGATTGACCTCCTGTAGGACTGTAGTGGGTATTTTGATTGGACACTAGTTAGTGACTACTGTGATGTGTCTAGTCCTTTCTTTGGTGCAGACTGAATACTCTTTTTGATAACTTCATCAACAGGTTCTACAGTTATATGCATACATAATAGTGAATGAATGAATTAGTGTCATTAACAACATTAATGTTGTTTGAATGACATCGAATCAATAGTAATAATATCAGTGGATTACAGTTCAGTAGCATCAACATAACACTACACACTGAGTATCAGAAAAATGAAGAAAGATAATAATACAAATTCATGAATTTATGGTCTCTACTGAAGGCTGGCCAGGGCATTGAACAGGGCACAGGTTGTTTATGGTGGATTGTGATAGCTTCTGCTGTTTGGAGCATGCGGTATCTGGATGCTTTTGGCAATTTATTTGGTACCCGGTAGATGACGGAGAAGGATTCTTCAATGGTATCTAAGTGTGTGGCAGGTTTAGACCAGGTTGTCTAATATGGAGTTGTTGATAATGGTTTCCACCACACTTTTACTTAGCCATACTGGGAGATGTTCTCGAGTACGAAAAATCAAGTTCCTAGAGCAACAGCCAATGTAACTCACTCCACCGCAAGCGCAGTTGAATTGCTAGACACAATTTGAAGTGGCTAGCCAGTCTAGGTACTTAATCTTTCAGTCGAGGAATCACCATCGGTCGTGCAGAAAATAAGACGTGTAGTTTGCCAGCATTAAAAGTTCTTTGAACTGATTTTCTTAATTTCTTCGTAATTATTTCACTTGGTATATCACCCTTCAATTGCAGTTGTATGTATAAAGGCTTCTTGTTTACGGATAGTGAGTAGTCCTTTTCCGCTTTCTTTGTCATGTGTTTCTTGATAAATTTGTCGGGATAGCTATTTTCAATCAAGGTATCATATACAATGCTTAATTCATCTTCAGTTACCTCTTCTGAGCATATAGCTCTAACCGTGTGGCTGAGGGTCATTCCTTACTAAATTTCTTTTGTACTGGAGAGGAACGAAGCTGTGAAAATGTGTATATTGTCCTGTCCAAGTACTTTTTCTCTGCAAGTTTTTGCTTTATGCTACCATCTGATTTTCTTGTAAGGAGGACACGTTCAGGAAGACAATTCTGTTTTGAGATTCCTCTTTGCATGTGAATTTCATAGCAGAGTGTACTTCATTTAATTCAGTTATCATTGTTCTCCTATCCGAATCATTATCACAAAGAATAAAGGTGTTATCCATATATACTACTACTGTTCTACATTGACTGGTAACCCCCTTCACTTTTTCGGGAAGTTGCATCAGCCAGTGCCAACGGGTTGATCGCTGACGAAATCTCAGCACGGATATAGAAAGCTAGTTTCGCATACGCCAGTTTACGCCGTCTCTGGCGTAGACGTGATATCCGACTATCGACGAAAGGGCATGTGTACTGCTCATCAATCCGCTCCGTCCTCCTTTATGGCTGTGAGACATAGCCATTGAGAGCGATAGACATGAAAAGGCTAGTTGTCTTTGATCATAGGTGCCTGTGTTCTATCTCCCGTGTCAGGTGGTAGTATAATAGGGTGGGCAATATTGAGGGGAAATCAATCGACGAGGTTGTGAAGTTACATCAACTGAGTGAGATGGTTAGGACATGAGTTACGTATGCCTAACCATCGCCTCCCTCGACGGCCAAGGTTAGCCGACATTGGGTCAGGTTGGAATAGAGGCAACGTGGTTCAAACCACAACATGGCTTCATCAGTCAATGAAATCCACAACAGTTAGTCTAAGCCAGCTACGTGGGAAGGTGTAGACTTCCTGACTGGTTCGGGTCTCCGGGACAGTAAAAACCAATGGATGGAAACAACTGGTGATATGGCTCAAAATTTTCGTCGTCGATTAGCTGGCGCAGATGCATCCACTCCTTATGACTTATAATACCCAATGAAACTATATTGTTCTTTGGTATTACTATTCTTTTTGTGCCAAATCTCTGTTTACTGTATCTGTGTTGCGTTTTTTTACTTTCTTCTTTTGCTTTGTGTGCTACATGGAGTGTGGTGACTGGAACTGCTGCACACCGGTGCAAATTTCTATGTTGAAGCCAGCAGACAGACAGACAGAAATCGCTAGTGAGCGGTATCTTGTATCCAGTCTTTATCATTGGTTGTGAGTGATTCTGTCAGACAAGTTAGTAAGTGGTCACGAATTTACGCCAATTGCTATTGTGATTCATCCTGTGTCAGGAAGCCTAAGCGTCTCGCTTATTGGGGGGTGGTAGTCAACAGAGTGTACCGTCGTCATGAAATGAATAGTTCTTTTCCCTTGAAGACTCAAACTGTCATTGCCCCAAATGCTGAAGTCATCGACATATGTACCCCCCGTTCTTTTTTTAGGCAGTGTAATATAATGCAATCATTCAAAGTATCTATGAGTTATGTGTTATTTTTCACCAATATTTTTGATCAATGTAGAATTATTGTCAGCCGTGTGAGTACAAATATTTCATTGGCTAAACGCGTTGGAGACCTGTTACATTTGGATAAGAAGAATATCTTGGAGAAAGGACGTAGTCGTCAACTTGTTTCCCTAAGTAATTTCTCTCTTCTTTTTCGATACTATTTATTTTTAATAATTAATAATAAAGAGCTTTACATCTTCATTTCGATGACTTGGATGCAATTGCACATTACTTTTTTTGCTTATTTTGATATATTACTATTTGTGTTTATAAGTAGTAAAACTAAAATGATTAATTTCAAATTATCAGTATAATAAATATGCAGAATTGATTGAAAATTTCATAGATCAATAAGAAAGCTGTTGCTACTGAATTGATTGCATGATGGTTATCAGGAAAGGTAAGGAACTCCTGATGACATATAATAATGTGCAACTAACAAGAGTTTGTAATTAGTGCATTAATAACGTCTTCTGTAACAACGGATTAAATTGCAAAGAGGTAACACACATAGCAAGCGTGAAAGGAAGATGAAAGAAACAGAATATGAGTATACTTCACAAATTGAAGTTTCGCTTTAATGCTTTTATATTACACCTTAATAATCAATTCCTCTTTAATATACCACTGTGTTCAACTGGCAGATTTGGTGACGTCCCCCTCTGCCAGATAAAGATCTTGTGGTCCACAGCTTTCGACGAAGGAGACATCCCAGAACCTGTCGCAGGATTTCAAAGCAGTTGTCGGACCGATGAGCGTCCAGAGTGTCATGATGAATTTGGAGGTGCTAGGGACGTTGCTTACAGGTTGAGTGAAGACTGATTACAATAGGGTGTGGGAATTAGACCTGGAAGTTACAGGTAGAACGACTGGTGATGGAGTTCGATAACACCTACCGACAGTAAACAGGGATATAAGCACTTTCATGACGCGAAGGTAGGGTTAGATGGAGAGACATACGATCTCACTGAGCGTTTTATACACTTGAAGAAAGGTAGGAGGTGCAGTTTATTTAGACTCTTATTCTTCTATCACTTTCGTGCAATATACTACTTATATACTTAATAAGTATTTCATACATCACATTTTTCAAAAAACTCTTTATTTTATCAAGTTGAAATACAACAAGATTTGGAGAGAATATTTCATTTAGGCAGTAAAATGCAACTGCTTCTCTTGGACTGTGATACAATCAACCATCCGAATCAAATATCTAAAACGTGTTTAGCACCGATTGTCATCTATATAAAAATTTCCAGTATTCGCGTATTAAATCGATTAATTAAAAATCGTGGTAAATTACAAAAGAAAAATGCTGGTGTACAAACTGCTGCTGCTGAAAAGTTACTACAATGTTCACCGGTAAGCGAAGAAAATTATTCTGTTACTTACTTATTTGAATTTCAGTAGTATAAAATTGATGAGTGTAAATTTATTTTTCGGGGTTAACAGATTATTCCTACCTTGTTCATCATTAATTCGAATGATGAAAAGAGGCGTGCATTTTTAATGTGGATTGGATACCATCGGAGTCTCAGTCTTGGGATGGATAGATAGATAGACAGATAGATAGTGGCGTCGATTTCCACAATAATTCATCCATTTTACTTCAAGAAATTGCTATTCTCTATGATTTACCTTTGATTCCGAGTGAACCATAGGGATCCAGGAGTGTATGACAGTAAATAGAAAAAACATGAATCGGCTAGGTGCCTTTGATCATATATATATATATATAGTTCATAAACGTGAATTATACTAAACTTTTATCATATTTTCCTCGTAAAAATCCCGATTCAGTCATATAAAAGAAAAGAAGGCGTTCAGCAAAGAGACTCTTTTCGGTGAATTCATTCACTGAGCTGTACAATCGCATATTTATACAATTTTGTTTGTGTGTGTGTATACATTAGATTTATAAAGTTTAGATAATTATGTAATATAAGTATTATTTGGCTTGGAGACAAACATTAAGATAGAAAATAAAATAGAATTGATTAAGTGAATTGGATGACGTAATGCAGTTGAGTAGAATTCAGAGTAGGTCAGGTTTTTTTCCTTCACGTTCCCCAGTGGAACATAGGGCTTCAAGCTAGTGGCTCGAAGTTTCTGTAGCAGTGTTTATTTTACAGGATGGGGTTGCTAGCCTCATGCCCAACCTTTCCTCTTCACCAGCATTATTTCTGGCTTGGCGAGGTAAAGGAGTGCGTCGGCCGAGGATTGAACTCCGGACCATGTGCATCGTCGGCAAGCGTCCTAACTGCTATACCACCGACGAACAGGTCAGGTTAGAAACAGTGTTAATGAGTGGTGCTTCAAATTAAATAAGGGTGGGTTTAGAGAATAATACAGTTGAAAATTAGGTAAGTTAATCGGATGACGTAACATAGTTAACTAGAAATTGGACGTGGGTCGAGTTAGCAACATTGTTAATGAGGGTAGTGATTACAAAAGGGTAGGGTAGAGAATAATACAAATGAAGATGTGAAATAATAAAATGCAAAAGACAAAATAATACAATTAGTAAGACTGAAATTAAGAAAGATTACGTCCATTGTAACTCGACCCACGTCCAATTTCTAGTCAACTATGTTACGTCATCCGATTAACTTACCTAATTTTCAACTGTATTATTCTCTAAACCCACCCTTATTTAATTTGAAGCACCACTCATTAACACTGTTTCTAACCTGACCTGTTCGTCGGTGGTATAGCAGTTAGGACGCTTGCCGACGATGCACATGGTCCGGAGTTCAATCCTCGGCCGACGCACTCCTTTACCTCGCCAAGCCAGAAATAATGCTGGTGAAGAGGAAAGGTTGGGCATGAGGCTAGCAACCCCATCCTGTAAAATAAACACTGCTACAGAAACTTCGAGCCACTAGCTTGAAGCCCTATGTTCCACTGGGGAACGTGAAGGAAAAAAACCTGACCTACTCTGAATTCTACTCAACTGCATTACGTCATCCAATTCACTTAATCAATTCTATTTTATTTTCTATCTTAATGTTTGTCTCCAAGCCAAATAATACTTATATTACATAATTATCTAAACTTTATAAATCTAATGTATACACACACACAAACAAAATTGTATAAATATGCGATTGTACAGCTCAGTGAATGAATTCACCGAAAAGAGTCTCTTTGCTGAACGCCTTCTTTTCTTTTATATTTTCCTCTCTCTCTATTTCTCCTTTTTGTTTTCCCTGACTTCTGTAGGAATCATTTGATTTTATCATAGATCAGAATACTTTGTCAGCTGCTACTGAAGCATTGAAACACTTTTTAGAAGGTTATTGGGCTGCAACACATCCACCATTGATAGTTAGTAAAGCTGAACGCCTTCTTGGATCGTTTTCTATACCAATGCCTGAAATTCATGAAGTTGATTCTGATCGTCCACTTGTCCCAATGACACCAGGACATCCTGGACTTAGTGTCGTCACTAAGGTGAGTAGATTTATAAGTTTGCTCTTTTTGTTTTCTTTTTTAAAAAAAAACACACCTTAGTCTACAATACTGATTTTTATTAATGCAAACGTTTAATCCTACTCCAAAGATAATATGGTGGAGATATGTGGATAACACTTTCACAGTGTTAAAAGCAGAACAGCTCTCTCTCTCTAGCTTCTTGACACACAGAAACTCACTAGTAAATGGAATACAATTCACATTTGAATCAGAAAATGAACAAAAAGAATTAGCCATGATCTTAAATTGAAAAATAAAACGAATAGAAGGAGGTAAACTACACATTAGTGTTTATAGAAAACCAACGCATTCTGTAAGCTAAAGGACCCTGTTGACCCAATTAGACAAAATAATGCAATTTACAGAATACCTTGCAATGACTGTGAGTGAGGTCAACTACATAGGTCAGTCAAACTAGTAGATCAGGAGTTTTGAGATTATCAGAACATAAGAATTGAACTAAGGTAAGAATGGTTGACCCCACCCACAAAGATAAGTAATTTAGATAAAAGCTCAGCAATCCCACTGCATGCATCAACACACAACCATACAATAGGGTGGGAGAGGGTTAAAATTCTAAGAAGTAATCTAGGTAGGTGGAGAGAGAGGTTGATTACTGAATCCTGTCTGGTTCATCGAGTCTACACCCAACACGTGCAATAGGAATGAATCGTCATTCATACCTGAAATATGGAGAATGCTACTACCAATCAAGTCAAGCGATGAAAAATATTGATGGATTTATATGAACAAAGTTAGAAAGTTGTGTGAGTAGCTTGATATGATTATGATCGGCGATAAATTGTGCTCGATACGTGGTCATCAGTAAACATTACTGTATAACACTGTGAGACTTTATCAAGATAAATTTTACCCATAATGGAATTATACTCTACCACAGTGCACAAGTTTTATTCTTATACAAACGAAATAGAATTAGGTAAGAGTAACTGAGTTTAAACATCGAACTTTGCACACAAAAATGTAGGTAGTTTGACTGTCTGTCTGTCTGTTTTCGACATAGAACTTTGTACATATGTGCGGCAGTTCAAGTCACCACACTCCCTCCTTGTAGAGAAGAAAGTAGGAGAAATACATAATATAGACAGTAAACAGAGGTGTGAGACAAAGGGATAGTAATTTCGAAGAACAAAACAGTTTAATTGGAAATCATAAGTCACAAGGAGTGGATGCATCTGCGCTAGCCATTGACAACGATTTTGAGCCATGTCATCAATTGTTTCCAACCATTCGTTTTTACCGTCCCGAGGACCTCAACCAGGAAGCCAGTCTATGCCTTCCTACGTGGCTGGCTTAGACTAACTGTTGTAGATTTCATTGACTGGTGGTATGCTTAGGCTTGACCGCCGCTAGCTGTTTTCCAGCCTGACCCTATATCAGCTAACATTGCCCACTGTCGAGGAAGGTGATGACTAGGCATGAATGCGTAACACATGTCCTAACCATCTCACTCAGTTGATGTAACTTCACAGCCTCGTCGATTGATTTCCCCTCTCTCCTTACCTAGCACTCGAAGCCTAACCTCAATATTGCTAACCTTATTATACCACTTCACACGGGAGATAGAACGCAGACACCTATGATCAAAGACAGCTAGGCGGCCTTTTCATGTCTTCCGCTCTCAATGGCCAGGTTTCACAGCCATAAAGGAGGACGGAGCGGACTGTTGAGCAGGTAGTTTAAGTTGTCACACTTCATTTCACCAACAGTCTCCAATTATTGGTTCTTAGAATCTATAAGATTTCAGCAAGGAAGTGTAAAACGCCTAACGTGGCTAGCTCAGATCAACTGTTAAAACGTTTATGCACTGATACACAGCTTTCTTTGACTATCCCTGTCGCTTATCCAACCTAATCCAATGTTAGTTAAGAATAACGGTGGCTTGGCCTGTGCAACAAGTGTCCCAGCCATCTTAATTAATTAGGCGTCACACTCTCATCGATTGATTCTCCATCGTCATCTAACACTACGTGTGACCCCCAATATATCACTCACCATATTATACCAGTTAACAGGAGAGATAGAAATCGAAGATCCATGGTCAAAGGGCAGCTAGTCTTTTTATGTAGAACAGGGGCAGTCAGACTAGCCGAACATAAACACCTAGCAGCAAAATCTAGATTAGTTGACCCAAATAAGATAAGAAATCTAGAGAATAGTTCAGCTATAGCACTGCATGCAATCACACACAACCATACAATAGGATGGGATAAGATGACAGTTTTAAAATCTAATGTCACAGGGTGGAGGGAGAGATTGATAACAGAAGCTTTGTTTATCGAATCAAGTGAATGAAAATACGTGTAATAGGAATGATTCAACACCTGTCCAGTCGGACATCTGGAAAATTCTACTACCCCAACGACGACAAATAGGAGAGAACAAAGAAAACTATAAAACTGAAGTTTCGAAGTCGTGTGATTACAATTGATATGATTATGAACAATAATAAATTGTGTTCGAAACGTCATCCAGTAAATATGCTTCCTTTGATAGACATTCTGATATCAACTCTACTCCAGAGACGATATCACACAAGAGCCTTTTGTATCCAGTGTGAGATTTCGTCAGTAATTAGCCTGTAAGAGCTGGTTCAACCTCCCAAATTAGGGAGGTTATCAACACCCACCCCCATTTCACCTCGTATCTTTAAGTTCGAAGTCGTCGCAGCTCAGTCTTGCAGCATCATCTTACACTTCCTAGGGTGAAATCGTATGTCAAACATCCAAAGATTTCTGTTCATTGTGATTAGGAGACTCTATATTTGTCAGAGTCTTCATCTAAAAGGACGATAACATCCACATACTCTGCAATTCGATCAGCACGTTATTTTCGTTTTTTTAAATCCAGCTTGTTCTGGTTGGTAAGGTGGGGTTCTTCATCCAGTACCTTATTCTCTCCAGGATGAAGCGACTTACTATTTTACTTGGCGTAGACAAGCGTATGATTCTTCACCAGTTGTTGCAAAGGTGTAATTCGCCCTTCTTTGGTAGCTTGACAAGGTAGCTAGCCTTTCTTCCAATCGACAGTCTAACTTTCCTTCCTTCCAAAAGTTTTGCAATAATAGTGTGAGCAAATCTGCCTCAATTTCTGGGGCCGTTTTCAATGCCTCAAGGGGAATTCCATCTAGCTCTGCTCCTGAACTGCAATTGTTTGCTAAATGATGTTATTTCGTGATGAAATCTCTCTCCAGGAAACATTTAAATGTTTAAAACTAAACGCTAATAAATGCTTTTTAAATTTTTTTTAGTCAGCTTTAAGCGCTGGATTTACTAGTCAAGAAATTAGTGTACTGACAGGAGCAAGAGCAGCTGGTTGGTTAACAGAAAACGGTGGACCAGTAGAAAATGAACTTGGCCTAACAGGTGTACATCATGCAGGCAGTGTTGGCAGTGAATACAATGCTACAAGTCTGGGCGGAATACGAACTAAAGGTGGTGGTCATGATAACAACACGCTTGGTAGTCGTCATACAATACATAATTCCGATGAGGAAAATGATGTTTCACAACGTACACATTATCATCGTAATGGTCGATTACAAGTGAATGCTGCACATGCTGCAGCAATTGCCGCTGTCGCTGCTGGATTAACACCTAAAGCACATTCAGTTCATCCGTCATTATTATCGGGTGATGGCTTAGGAAGTGGTGTTCCCAATGGATATAATTCAGCAAGTATATCGCATGCATCACCTGGTTTAACAATGGGTTTAGGATTGGGACTGGCAAGTGGTGTTGCGGCGACTATAAACGCTGCCCTCTTTCCGAGTCATCACCATCATCATCATTCATCAGAGACAACTCAGGCAAACAAACGGATACCACCGCCAACATTAGCTGCGGCAGCTGTTGCATCTGTCACTGCACCACCTTTAAAAGATTTAGGAATTCATCAAGTGGAAGGATCAGATGGTCCACAGGGTGAGTGAAATTTATATTTTTATGCTTTCTTAAGATATCAGCCTGATAAATATAATTAATAATTTGCTTTATTGCAAAACAGTACATGTGATACAGAATGGAATTCTCAGCATTTTTACCACAGTATGGCATCCTGTTAGTACATTATCAATAAATAGAATTCTACATAGATTAAGGGTAGTCTCAGTTAATTTTGACAACAACATATTAGCATATCGGTAGCAAAGCCAAAAGAGAACAGTATTTGAAGGTGTTAGAAAAGTAGGTGCTATCATATTTACTGGCGTAAGCGGGAGGAAGAAACAAAGCAGTACATAACAGAAAGAGAGAGAGAGAAAAGGAAAAGAAAGAAAGAAAATGTTGTACCTAAAAATGATATGAGTTGGAAAGACGAGGTCCAGTTGTTCTACTGACTATTTGATGAATTACAGGTGTCACACCGAATGCTTTCTTTGTCGCAGAGAACACGAGCTAAGTAGGGTATGGTTGCGTTTTTTTACTTGCCAGTGCGAGCATATAGTTTTCTATATAGGCTTCTGGTTTTGCCAGATGAGATGAAAGGGGAGAGTTGTGAATGAAGGGGGTGGTGTGAGTTAGACAGAATAGATTTAGCCCATGTTTCATATGAGTCCGAGTGCCTGTCAACCAGAATATTAACAGGCCGGTTAAGTGGCACGTTGCTTACCCTGCTGACAACCTTTAACATCCTGCGTGATATGTT